TTTTTATGGGACTTCTGCCTTAAGAGCTTAACAGAAGAGTCATATCCATTCAGAAATTGAACATGTTTTAAATTAACAGCCACATAACAAACAATAGATCTTACCATTGAAAGAGTTTAATTATCAATGGTAATGTGTCTTGAGAGAAAAGAGCTCTGTTTCAGCCTTACATCAATTACTTTCATAGGAGCACGCACCAAACATGGGTTCTTTCACAATTTATATAAAAGTTTCACATTCTAGTTAAATGATATACTACTACCTGTTGTTGATTATTTTTTAAAGTTATTTTAAATTAAAATTCAGCTGGCATTGGCCAAGCACATATTATTTTGCATATTCTTTATCGAGTAATTTATTTGTCTTATTCTTTCTTAGTGTACCTACCACAGGTCTGCGTGCATTGCGATAAAGCTAAAAAGGAAATAAGTCTGATAGAGAGACATAATTAGAAAAATGGATCAGAATGACTCAAAAGGTTTGTAGGAGTTAGGAGGGTGACAAGTCTCTTCAGCTTATACAGATACCCTCCTGATGCATTACAAAAAGAGAAAAAAGATGGAAGCAGTAAGTTTCAAAGAATTAAAAAGTGTCATTGAATTGTGTTGCTAGGAAAGCAGATGAAATGCATGGGGCTTTATACCAAATAATTTTCTGTGTGGCAAAAAGCACTTCCTTTTAGTGATGCTACTATTTAGAGCTTTTTGCAGCTCTCTAGGTTTCAATGGCGGATCAAAAGGTAGCAACACGCTGCAATGTCATTTTCTAATGCCTAAATATCAGGATTTTAATGCTACACGTGTTTCCTTTTTTCCTTTCATTTCAACTTGAAACATTTTCAGTATTTTTTCCTAACTTCTCCTTTTTCAGCTTCTTTTTTCTGTAACACAACATTTTGATTCTCTGTTAATTATCCTTTTCCCCACATTGTATTTCTAATATAATACAATCTAATGCTGCTGAGGATGCAGGGATTTTATTTGGATTTTGTGTGGTATGTGTGTTGTTATTCTGATATAGTTACTGCATTATTATTTGCCTCCCCTTGAAACAAAAGTATATTTTAATACAAATATTTTCATTAGTCTCTCAGCAAATATACATCATCACATGAAACCCTATGTAAAAGAAAGATTTTTGTATACTTGCTTACATGTCAACTAACATAATCCTGTTGCATTTTTTGTGTTTGTTAACTCCCACATTTGCAAAATTATAGCATCATAGCTATTATCCTAATGACTTAAATTCCAATTATACTCATTCTTCATAGGCATGAAAAGGAAAACTACAAGACAAAACAAATACAAGACAGAAATATACTACAATACTCTATGTAGAAAAATAGTTGATCTGTGCCAAATACTGTACTAGAATTTAAATTGGCCCAAGGAGACAATAACTGAGCAACATTTTAAGTCTTATATATTTCAGCTCTCAATATATACTCCAAAATAAAGCCTTTAATATTCTGTCCCTTCCTCTTTGCCTCCCATCCTAATATAGAGCCAAAAAGGAATAAAACAGTATTAATGCATCTGGGTTGTCTTGCCTATCAATGCCCCCATTGGGGTACTGAACCAGTTAAGTCAGTCCACCTGTGGAGACTCATGGAGCTGGTAGGATTCCAAAGTTCTATGGGAGATGTTCCCATCGACTTTGATGGCTACTCTGTTTGATGGCCTGGTCAAATTGTAGAATAGTACACTGACGGTGTCTGCTCTCACTGCTGTGGCGGCATGGCCACCCCGGTATAGAGGGGATTTGAAACATGTTAAGTAGGAGGGTAATCAGTTAGCATGCAGGGGGATCCCGGGTCATACTGGAGCCAACCAATTCATCCCTATGTCCTTTTAAAAGGTTGCAAATTGCCCTGTGGCAGAAGTCTTCTGGGTGGTGAGTGGCCTGGTTGATTTGGGTTGACTTCACCAGAAACTGAGGACCTACATGTTTCTCTGATGAGTTTGACCCCTGCTTTGTTGACAAAGTAATTCATATCCAGAGTGCCTTGTGGACTGCAAGTCTTGCTGCAGAGTCAGACTTCATGGTTGGAAAAGCTGGGTTTTGTTTGGTTTATATGGATCCATTTCAGTTGTTGTTACCTACTGATGCAGAGAATGTGCTCAAAGGGATTCAGTTAGCCAGTTATGAATTGGACCCATGCCTGTCCTGGCTTGCAGAAGTCAGCTGAGGAGACACAGGCTATTGCAGTTGAGCTGTGTCTTGGCATCTTCCCCTTCTTAGGAGGGCAGGGTGCTGGACATTCTTAAGTCTGAAGTTCTCCAGCCCCCACTCAAAAATAATCTCTTGATGCTGACTCCCCAGCCATCTATCTCTGTTTCCACCTTCCTTTTCTGGGTGTAGGCCATTAACTGGGTAGTCTTCTAACAGCTCCAAGCGCATTTGGATGCAATTGGATTCCTGGACCCTGTCACTCTTGTTTTTGTCCTTGCCATACTACACAGGTGGCATTTGTCGTCTTGGTTGATGATATTCTCCTGGAGATCAATGAGATAAACTTCATGCTTTTGATTTTATTAGATAACACATTTACATGATCTGGGTATTTATGGAACTGCTCTTCATTGGTTCTGCTCTTTCCTAGCAGGGAAGTCCTAGAGAGTGATAATGGGTGAGTGATCATCACCCCTTTGGAACCTTCCCTGTGGGGTCACCCAGGGTTTGATCTTATCACCCCCCCTGTTTAACATGTAGCAAAATTGTGCAGAGATTTGTAGTGAGTTGCCATCAGTATGCTGATGACACCTAACTCTGTCTCTGTTTTTCATCAGTCCAACACCTGAAGTCTTGAGTGTCTGGCTACCATAAGGGATTAGATGTAGGTAAAGAATTGAATCTGAACCCAGACAAGACAGAGGTGATGGTTGTGGCCAGACACGATGACTTGCAGATAGTGATTGGGACACCTGAAGAGTTTAACCTCCCCATGTCAGTCAGATCTTTAGGCTTGGGGTGTTTCTGGTTCCCTTGCTACACCTGAATTCTCAGATTGTGGCAGTGGCTAGGAGCACGTTTTACCAACTCCATCTGGTGAGAAGGCTGCAAACCTTTCTTTCAGACTTGGATCTGCCCACCATGCTTTTCTAACCTTGAGGCTAAGCTGCTCCACTGTGCTCTATATTCATCTGAGGGCTATCAGGAAGGTGCAGCTGGTACAGAACACAGTGGTTCGTCTTCTAATGGGGATGGGTCACTAGGAGCACATCACAATGCTCCAAAGCCTGCACTGCCTTCCAGTAGCTTTTTGGGCACCATTTAAGGTACTGATTTTGACCTATACAGTCCTAAATGATCTGGGCTAAGGAACTATCTTCTCCTTTATGCTCCACTATGATAAGGCTGCTTCACTTAAGGTCAGGCAAAAGCAACCTTCTGGAATTACCATATCTGCACCAATTTTGTTCAGTGAAAACATGAGGGAGGTTGTTCTCAGTAGTCACTCTTCAGCTCTGAGCTCTGGCACTCCACCCCTCCCCTTTCCTCCCCACCTGTGGTCTATCAGTACCCAAGAATGGACATCCTCTGGCAGCATTGTAAGTCTTCTTTATTTTGACAACCCTTCAACAGGTGAGGTTACATTTTGAAGCATTGTCTGGGGAGTTTGTTCTATTAGATATAATTTTATTTTAGTATTTTTATTTGTCTTTATAATTTATCGGTTTGGTTTGTTTGTTTGTTTGTTGGTTGGTTTTTTGCTGGAAGCTGCCCTGAGGCTCCTTAGGGTAGGATGGCATAAACAGTCTAATAAATAAATAACATCCGAGGTGTATTTTAAGGAAAATACTTAATGAAAAGCTGTAACTTAAGGGTGCAGCTTTGCCTTATAGACCTGTGATTTTGATGTAGTCAAATAATCCTGAGCCAGGACACACTGACCCCTGTTCCTTTGGGAGCAGGAGTAGGCCTATGATGTACCTTTTACACTGTTGAGAAGGTTTTTGTAAAGGAAACCAGCTTTTTATTTGTATTAGTATGAAGGCTAAAAGGTCACATAGGGACTGATTCTGTAGTTATACAACAAGAATCCAATCGATACAATCAGAACATCAGGTCTTGGGATCCAAATTACTGCATTCTGATAATAAACTTGATGCACAATGCTGTACTTGAAGTCTGGTCTGCTATACTGGTGTAATAAAAAGATAATGGACTATGAAGCAGACTAATAAGATTTTTAAGGAGCTAAAGCACTAAGTCACTTTAAATCTATTGAGCCTCTCCAAAGCATTAATATAATAATCTTGACAAGTGTACTTCACTATCACTGTAGGCAGATAGCAAGAATTGCACATGGTGGCGTTCTCTTTAGGGTGAAGTAGCAGACAAGTGGGGCTTCTTTACAGCGATATGAAGAAAAACTTTTATTGCAATGTGTATAATTTAACCCTTTCACTATCAATGCTATGTTTGTATGTGTTTTACTAAAAATGGAGTCACAAAAATGGTATGACAGACCTCTGTATAATTCTCAGCCCTAAGAGAGGGGAGGGTCATCATTCTCAAACTAGACCAGTAGTGCTTATTTCTGTATCTCTCCAGTGGGAGTTGCATCCCACCTCTGTAAGGATTTCAGAACTAGACCCTTCACAGTGTTAAACTTTACTATGACTACTCCTGTCATTTTTGCATGATGCATAACAAAATTTCTGTACTTTACATGCTTGTTGTATGTTTTTAATTTCAGGTTAACACATTCTCAGATATGATGTAAACAACTCAAAGCAATAGAGCAAAAAACATTTCCTACCTAACTCAATGAACTTTAAATATTCTTCAATCCCAAGTAGCAAATTATTTAGAATTTCACTTGATAGTTTTTTACCTTGCTGTGTTCAATATGACAATGTTGTTCTTGTTTTTTCTCATTTTTTTGAACCCCTGTTTATATGTGTGTATTTTTTTCCTCTGCCTAGACCTGGTTAACCATTTCTGTGAACAGGTCCTCAATTTTTTACTTTGTCCCTACTTTCCTGTCGTAGCCCCATCTTCCCCTGGTGTCGACTCCGTACCCTTACAGCGCACAGGCAGTCAGCACGGCACTCAAAACGCAACATCGACCTTCCAGAGGGCCAGCTATGCTGCAGGCCCAGCCTCCAATTACGCAGATCCCTACCGACAGCTGCAGTATTGTCCTTCTGTTGAATCACCATACAGCAAATCTGGGCCAGCCATCCCACCTGAGGGGACCTTGGCTAGGTCACCTTCCATTGATAGCATTCAAAAAGATCCCAGGTGGGTGAAACCTTACTTTGTCTACTGTCATATGTTCATTAAGTGACTTCTGATTGCAGTTTATGCGTTTCAATGATGGTATGTCAGCAAAAATTCAAACAGAAATAATTTTACCTATTTGGTTCTTTGGTTGTAATGATCTATTTTAATATATTAACTTAAATAGTTTTATGAGTGCTCTTTTATGACAAAATGGTAATGTGACCTTGAGTGCGTAAATTTAGTCTGCTTCTGGCTGTGCATTATATGTAGTCCTGTAAAAAGTAACTTGTTTGTTTGTGTGAAAATGAGAACACTGGCACCCTGAGTCTTTGAATCTTAATTGCAGTAGATTACATTTTTCTTTTTCTCTGCAGAAAGAAAGTTGTTTGACTTGTTTTTCTATAAATATTTAAGAGAATGCACAAGTACCAGCCCAGTATTAGGCTATGGCTGGGAGCAATGATTACCAAATAGAATATATTCAAGTCCATAGCTCATCTTAAGCTATGGAATATAGGCTCCAAATGCTGGTATATGATAATGGAGTGATTTGCAGTGTAATTTTCAAGAATTAATTATGGATGCCTGTTAATTTTAAATGTTATGGTATCTCTTATTAACTGAAAATATCTGCCTCAATATACACATGTAATTTAGGGGTGGACTGAGGAGAGTAGTGTACATATGTCTGTATGTGTGAAGCAATAAAACATTCTCATCACAGCCTTCTCTAGGTATAATGTAAATCAGAGAGGGCAAGTTTGTTGGCAGCATTGCAATCACCAAACTGTCCTTAGTGATAACAGTAACTGAAATAGAAGTGTTAGTATCTCTTGATGCATGTGGTTGTTTTGTCATGTAAAGTATTAGTAATTTCATCTTTGTGACTCATAATGACTCCTGCTTGCTAAAAGCTTTTGAAGTTGAAATGGGACTCTTGAGAAGTTACATCATTTAGATTTTATTCACAAATATGTGACCTCTGGAAATATGTTTGTTTGTAGTAGATTTGCTGTGCTAGCAGGCATGCTTTGCTGCATAAAAGTTAGCAAAAGGAGAATCCAAAAATACATCCCCACAATTCATTAAAGAAATATTTGACTGACAAAATGGAAAGGTTTTCCTTCTTCCACTACAGAAGAAAATTGTTCCCAGTTTTAGCAGCATTAACTCTGAAAATTGATGAATCACATAGAAACTAATTGTATGGGTATGCCTGCCCCACCGGAGCAAGCACTATTAAGCATGCCCCATACAACGCATGCCCAATCCTATAAATGAAAGTAAGGGAGGTTGCAGCCAAAGAGTGGTGCTGAATATGAACAAATAAGCACACTTGAGAGACACACAGAAAAAGCAGTGCCTTATTTTAGGGGTGGCATGCATGATATGGGAGTAAGGGAGCAGAGCATGTTTTATGGCACTGCCCCCAGATATAACAGGGAAAAGAGGGAAGGCATGTATCTTGGTTTAAGAGACCAAGAACCAATACAGACTGGTTCCGCTTTTAGCCAGGCTCATGCTTACTAGATGTCCCTTTTTCATTTGCTGTCTCAATCGCCTCAATTTTGGTGACACTTCACATGCTTAAGTGAGGGTCCACAAGTGCCAGTTAGCATATAAAGATAACCTGTCATTCCACTGAAAAATTTTACCTACAGGGAAAGTCACTGAATCCAAGTGGTGGTTGCACAGTACTGAATTCTTGATGAGGCTCTTACAAAAAAGTCTTTTATTCATGGAATTGAATTCTCTTTTTGCAGTAATACCTTAACAAAACTATGAGAACCTGAAACACAAGAGGAAACTTGACACTAGCTGTAAACAAGTTGAAATTGAAGGCAGTTTGCCTTATACTGAGAGAAAGCATATTTACTATATCCCTAGTAGTGCTGGACACATGGTTTTAAAAGAGGTCACCCTTGTTCACAACAAGTACTATCACTGTAATTTTGGCAAGGTTGGCACCTGTATAGCTTATCTGTGTGGTGGATGTCAGATTTATTCTTTTTGTACAATGCCCTTTGTTTAGTTTTGCTGCTTTTGCCTCCTTTTCCAACGCTTTTATGTTTCTCTTCCTCATCCCCATATGATACACATTGTGCATGAAATTAAATTAATGCTGTTTTCCATAATTGACAAAGAAGAAGGTATTCTAACAGCCATGGGTATAAGTAAATATTGATCAGTTTTTCACATGTATTGAGTCATATGTCCCTTTTTCATTGCACAAATTAGTTATAAACAGGCCATGATTGCTATGATACTTTATAGTAAGGAAATTTGGTCTGCAGGGGTAGGGGCTAGGGGCAGACATTACACATAAACTGGTTTAAGTGATCAGAAACTGGTTTATATCTGTAATAGAACATAAGTTCAGTGGATATAAAGCAATTTCAAAATGGCTGAAACTGGTTTATGATAAACTGGGTTGAATATAGTATCAGATTTAACTGATTTGGGTCAAACCTGTTTATGCAATGTCTCTCCCAGACCCCTTCTGATTTAAGTTAAGCCAGAGTCCCCCAGCATCCCATGTGCTTTGCACCCCTGGGCTGTGCTCTCTACTCCAGAGGACAGGGCTGGCCCCACCCCTCTGCTCCCTAGTAGAACCTGGTAGAACCCCCTGTTCCCCCCTCACCCCTGCTGCTGCTTGCTGCTCAAGCAGGGATTCCCCCCTCCCTCCTTCCCATCTCCCACAGCACAGACCCCAGCACCAAGGACCCTAGCTGGCATGTGGTATGCTAGCTAATGCTGAGAGGTGTCTGTGTGTCTCCAATTTCACTGGGACAGGACAAATGCAGACAGGACAGTGTCCACTTAGGCTTTTTTGGAGCTAATCAACAGGTTAGCTGGTAATGTCCCTCTGTTCCTTCCTTGGAAGAAGCTGTTTAAGAAGAGCTTGAACTAATGAGAGAGGCTTTTGTTTTTTTGATGGACTGCTAAACACTGCGTTATCAGCTCCCTGCTGGCTCCCTCCCCTGTCAGGTTTGCAGACAGTATCAAGAATCAGGGAGAGGAAGATTGAAAAGCTACCTGACATCAACAGATGCATGCACTGCACACATGTAGTGCTCCCTCCCCCTTCCCCCTTTGCCTCAAAGTGCTAGCTAGGAGCTGGCAACACTCCCGCCCGTTGAGCAGCAAGTGGGGAAAAGCCTGGGACTGTGCAGGCAGGGTGGGGGTTTAAACCCCTCTCTAATCAGAGCATTCTGCTGGGCCTGGCCATGGCCCCCTCAGCTCTGTGGAGGGGGAGGGAGGGCTGCTCTAGTGCCTCCTGGCTTCTAGCCTGAGCCACTGCAGGCATATGCCTGCATTTCCTCAGTCCAGAGGGAATGTCTGTGCACTTGCAAATTGGTTCAACCTAGGTAGGTTAGACTAACCTGCAAAGATTCAGGCTCAGGCTTTTTGAATGTCTGTCCCTAGCCCAGATGAACTGTTGATCACCCCTATTGCTTTGGATATTCACTATTCATGAATATTCAATAGTCATTCATAGATTATGTTGTCTGATTGGTCACCTAAGTTGCATAGTATTGCTCTTGTTCACTCACTGGATGACTCCACAGCCACAAAGAAGTTCTATGAATGCCTTGGAAACTATGGTAATCTAACATAAAGCTATGAATGCATGAGTATTTCTGACACCTGCTATTTTCACCAACCTTGTAAATAAAAGTCTGTTCCTATGGAGTTCATGTAAATTAAATGAAGGGAAAGCAAAGGCTTTCAGAACCAGCTGTGTGAATTTTATTCAAACCCATATTTGCAAAGACTTCATTGTAGAATTCACCCAGCTCTAGATCCAGTCTGCAAAATGGAAAGGGTCTGGTATCTTTGCATGCTGCTATCAGGAAGAGGCAAGGAAAACAGATTTTTAGGGTATCGCTACATTGCATTTAGATTGAACTCCAAGGATCGGTCACTTTTAGCCCAAGCCACATGATCTATCACTTCCTGTCTCTGTCTCTTTAATCCTGGTTGCCTCTGTTACACACAGAAGGAAAGGCAAGTAGTAGCGGATGGACTCTGCAGAAAATAGTGACAGGAAGTTGGGTATGGAAGAGCCAGAATCCAGGAATAGAAGTAGAGGGATTGGAGCTGGTAGACTTCCTACATTTTGTTGCCTTGACCGCATGAGTTCTGAGCTTCCTATGGAAGTGAGGGGCTAAGAAGTAGTTCAATTCCAGGGCCTAATATTCAGCAGAGCATCTACAGCCAGCTGTACTGCCACTGGAGGGTAGAGCTTAGGGGTTTTCACTAGAGATGGTCCGCATACATGGGCCATAGTGCCTCCCTGCAGGAGGTCCTAAGTAACAGTGAATTGAAGTTGCAGGGCAACTTGATTCTTCCTTTTCAAATAAAGTAATCAGCTTATTATTAAGGATGGAATTTTCACTCTTATTTATCCGGGCAATGGGAGGCAGGAGGTAGACAAGAAGAAGAAAAGGTACCTGTTGTCTTTCTCCCTGCCAGGCACTCACATATCATAAGGAATTATGCAGACATAGCTGCCCCCAGAATTGTATGCAAAGATAGAAGCAACCTTGCCTAACATGGAAATATAATTCCATATGGTTTAGGAACATGGCTTATACCTGTAACATATCAGGGTCCCAGGGCCATTATGTCCCCTGGTGGCTCCACAACCATGCCTCGCTTTGGCCCTTGGGCGCCTACCTCACTTGTCTTATTTGCCACGCCTTGATGGTAATATAAATCATAAGCCCCTCGGCTGTAATATAAACAACAAAGTAGCAGCCCTTTGTCCCGTTAAGAGAGCAAACCTTCTTTCTCCCCTTTACCAATGTATCTCCCATCATAGGCTCCTTATGAGCTCCCCAAGCTTCGGTGTTCCTACAGGCAGCAAATGGTCAGCCCATCATCCCTGGGTGGCCCTCCTAGGCAGGAGCTCCTTCCCCTGTGGCAGCCAGGGAGAGACTTCTCTGTCAGCCCTAGCCTTGAGCTTATATGCACCCAGGGCCCTGCCTACATCTGGTCAGGTGACTGCTTGGGCT